GCAGGGAGCGTTTGTTTATATGATCCAGTGTGTTCAACCCATGGGACTGTGTGGGGAACACACTGGATAGCGTGAACGGGCCCTCAACTGAGTGTAAGGGCTTGTTCACACCAAATCCAGTGTGTTCCAGCACAGTTTGTTGCTGGAGCACAGTGGATTGCATAATTACAGCCTCCCTGCGTTCTGGGGTTGACGAGTGTGTGGTGGTGCATTCAAGTCAATGGCACCGCAGCCACACCTCCCGACCTGCACTTGCACCGGAACGCATGCCACAGCGATGCCCACGGAGTAATGTGATCGCAAAAAATAGTGCAAGAAATCGCACCGTTGTGCCACGCGTTCCCGTGTGGGCGATTGCACTGACAGTCACCACCCTCTGCAGGGAGATGATCAAGAAGTGAGCGGATCGGCGCATGGTTCTGCTCACTTCCCGATCGATAGAGCCGACCTGTGACAACGATTGGTGGAAATCACTCACCTTATAGTTCTCCTTTAAGGGCCCAGTCACACCATAAAGAGTGCGTTCCAGAGCGTTCTGCCTCTGGTATCCAACCCAGCCGGCTCACTTTGTGAGGCACTATTTGCAGATCACACTGGACCAGAACGCAGGCACTAATGTGCCACGCGTTCAGGTGCTGGCGATCGCAATGCGGAGGGGTGGGGTGGCTGTGTTGCCATTGACTTCCATGCACCGCCACGCCCCCTCCCGCCCCAAAGCAAAGTGAGCTGGCCAGGTTGCGTTCCACAGCCGAACGCTCTGGAACACACTCTTTATGGTTAGCTGGGTCCTAACTCTGAAGTGACATATGCAGAGCAGTGCATGAATAATTACAACCATCAATTTCCATCTACATGATTTTATATTCATGTTTTAAAGGAGAACTATGAGGTAAAGCGCTGACTGGCGGAACGGACGGAGGAGGCGGGTACAGCTGGCTCTGCCTCTAGATAGGCAGAGCCAGCTGTCAGTCACGCAGCTGGGCGGATCCCGGCATAATTGATCCACTTCAGCTGTGGCGTCTCCAGCCACAGCTCGTGGTATACTGAGCCTAGGGTGACGTGAGGACGCTAGTTTGTGTCCTCCCGTTACCCTAAGGAGAACTATGGGGAAAAGCTTTAACCACGTACAGAGTCAATAGCTACAGACCTCCCAACTTCGTGTGGCCTTCAGATTGGCACAACAACAGTGCCAATATATACTGGCTCGCAGTCTCCGCTCTAATTCATCCCAAAGGTGTTCTATCGGGTTGAGGTCAGGACTCTGTGCAGGCCAGTCAAGTTCCTCCACCCTTAACTCGCTCATCCATGTCTTTATGGACCTTGCTTTGTGCACTGGTGCGCAGTCTGATGGAGCAGGAAGGGGCCATCCCCAAACTGTTCCCACAAAGTTGGGAGCATGAAATTGTCCAAAATGTCTTGGTATGCTGATGCCTTAACAACTTGAAGTCCGGGGTGTTAAACTTCCTTCCTGTCCAGGCCATTTTTCAGTATTCAGCGCTGCGGTTCTTTGACTGACATTTATTCCGTCATGCAACGCTGTACTGAAATGAATTTTATACATTTTTGGGGGGGGACAGATGGAGCTTTCTTTTGGTGGTATTTAATCACCACTGGGGTGTTTTATTTTTTACTATATTAACCCCTTCGTGACGGGAGACGTACACTGTACGTCCCGCCACAAAGGGACCAAATGACTAGTGTACGTGACGAGTTATTTGCTGGACTAGAAGCCTGGTAACTGCTGAGAATCAGGAATGTATCTATTCCTGAAAGAAGAATGTTTCAGTTTTCTAATCGTTGTTGGAACGTTCAGAAAACCTTTAGTGACAGCTGAATCCTGAACTTCTGCAGGATCAGTGTCACTAACTTATTATCGGCTGTTCTGAAGTTTGAAACAGCCTAATAATAACCAAAAATGTATTAATTTAGCAAGCAGTAATTAATTCACAATGACTGCTTGATATAATTAAATAAATAAAATACAAATTTTTAAAGTTTTTTAAAAAAGAGTGAAAAGTGTAAAAAAAATAAAAATAGTGAAAAGTGTAAAGAAAAATAAAGAAGTGTAAAAAAATAAAGGAATGTATTTATTGCATTTTTTTTTTTTTTTACTTTATTCAACCTCAAATACTATGTAACACTAACAGTTGAGCGTGGAATATTTAGGAGTAAGGAAATTTCACGGATGGACTTATTGCACAGGTGGCAACCTATCACAATACTATGCTTGAATTCACTGAGCTAATGAGAACGAGCCATTCTTTCATAAATGTTTATAAGCAGTCTGCATGCCTAGGTGCCTGATTTTATACACCTGTGGTCATGGAGGTGATTGGAACACCTGAATCCAATGATTTGGAGGGGTGTCCCAATACTTTGGCAATATAGTGTGTGTCTGATCCTGGTGGCCTGAACTAAACGCATGGCACGTGATCCAAGTTCGATCACCAGAGACCCAGTGGGCCTATGGCAGATGGGTGGGCTCCTGTGGCTTAAAGTGAGGCTAAACTCAAGAGTTAAATCTTAAAAAATGCATTCAAGCACCCTAATTATTAACAAAAAAATTGTTTGTGCATCACTCACC